ATTGCTCCTCTAAAACGTACTGAAGGAACATATGGACCTACCAGATAGTTGTTAGACATTTTCATGACGGTCGTCTTCGAGTATAGAATCCAGAGGTTGGCAGTGAATATTTCGGAGACAGTAGAAAAGCGTAGTGCAGGTTCGCAGTGGATATCGTAGCAGAGCGTAGTTCTTCCGTCTGTCATGTTCGCCGGACAAGTTGCCTCTGGTCCTTCCGGGTAGGAAAACAAACATGGCCGCCTTTATACACGACGGATCCAGTGTTCTGCGGCTCCTGATTGGTTAATCTTCTATTGGTAGACTATAAAGGGAATTAAGTCACTTTGACTCGCTCACTAGTTACATATAATATACACAAAAACCCGTAACAATAGTCACCTACAATTCCAACCCACACATTAATCATAAACTGATGCTGGAGCCTATCCTGTATTGTACCATGGGAATTCTGATCTGGCCACAAATGCTTGCTGTGTAAATTTGTTTTTCTATTTCTTCCAAATGTTGTCTGATCCGTAAACAAGACTGAAAAGACAAACAATGGATCGGTAGTTTGTGTAATAAACCACTGGCAAAAGTTCTCCCGTGAGTGATCAGAGGGAGAAAGACCCACCACACGTTGCAAATGATACGGATAAAGGATCTGATCTTGAAGTACCCTCCATACGGTACTATGTGATGTACGATATTCTTGGAACACTTGACGTGTGTCGATAGCCCGTGGAAGGTGTTCTTCGTGGTCAGGCGTACGATTAGATCTCGGCCTTCCTCGATGCATAGTTTGTGGCGCAACGGATCCTGTCTTAGCAACGCCACAATAAACAGCAGCAAATGTCGAATGACTCGGCTGCCTTCAGTCTGCAAACACAATCTGATGCCGCAGTGCAGTTTCGCGTCCATTACCATTCGCGTGGCCGTATGTAAAAATCATATCTGCCTATTCACAATATGAATATCCTGCCATTGTTAAACGGAACACTTCGTCGTCAACTCACTATTACACATATTAAGCGTTGAAGAAAGACTAACCACAAACGTAAACGAGTGACACATGTAACCTAGGCTACATGGCGATATAGTGTCATCTACGGTAAACTTTAAACTTAAAAGCTCAAAAACGAAGGATTTGCGGACGTATGCTTATATAGAATTTGTCCTTGTTTTGCTGTGAGAAGCCTTCTTTCAAAGTTTGTAATACTATTTTTGATACACCCAGTATATATATATATATATATATATATATATATATATATATATATATATATATATATATACATTTCTTTGAATACGACAGACAGGGTGCATTTATTTAGTTTTTTATACAATTTCTCATGCGATCTAATAATTCTTTTCTTTTGGGACGATAAATTATATAAAAACTGTCCAAATGTTCTTTTTATCCGAGCGCTTTCGGCTATACATTTAGCCATGTACAAGGATTAAATATTTTAGCTGTTAAATAAGAAATACTTTGTTGTATGTATGTTTCATAAAATGTTTTCATTTTTCAAATCACGGTCAAGATATTGTGTCCATGTTCAAAGTTATTATTATTCTTATTTAACAGTTAAAATATTTAATCCTTGAAAATGGCTAAATGTATAGCCTTAAACATTCGGACAGTTTTTATAAAATTTATCATCCGTAAAGAAAAAAAAATTATTACATCGCATGAGAAATTGTATAAAAAACTAAATAAAGCACTTGTCTGTCGTATTCAATGAAATGTGCATGAAAAAGATTTCTTCCTAAATACACACACACACACACACACACACACACACACACACATATATATATATATATATATATATATATATATATATATATATATATATATACTAGCAGTAGAGCCCAGCGTTGCCTGGTATGTAACAATAAGAGATAGATCAAGTATCGACCATCATGAAGACGGAAAAATAAAATTGACAAAGATTATTGTTTAAGGTTGACGGACACGCATGTCTTAATTATTATTATTTTTTTTTTTTTTTGTCTTTTGGGGTTTTTTTACAAATTGGTCAAACCCAAACTCAAACAAGAACATTGTTTTCAATCGTTATGAGTCTATCGATTGAATAGAATTTTATTATAAACAATTGTCTTGTAAATGGAATTTTAAAGCATTCTGAATGTAAAAATAAAGCAAAAGTGTGTAAGACAATAAAAACACTACCTGCCAAAAAAAAAAGTGAAGTTTTGTTGAAATCGGTTGAAAAATGTAGGAAATCCGATCCCATATATAAACGAACACACACACACACACACACACACACACACACACACACACAACCCTGGGTTTTAATAAGTATAACTCGATATGAGTTGTCCCCCTTTCATTCTGGCGACAGAATCGTGTTTTATCGTGTTTTCAAATTAATTTCGTGCAAAAACAATTGTTTTTTTCCAATTTTTGACGCTGTCAGAACCACCGCAAGGTAATTTTACGCAGTCCTGTGAAGTTTTGTTGAAATCGGTTGAAAAATGTAGGAAATCCGATCCAATATATAAACGTACAGACACACACACACACACACACACACACACACACACACACACACACACACAATCTGCATTTTATAATAAGTAAGATATATGTGTGTGTGTGTGTGTGTATGTGACTGCGCGCAGTTTTCACATGTATAGTAATTTCCTAAGCGTAGCTCAGATGTGGCACAAGGCCAAAAGTATGGGGCACCCAGTGAGGGTCGAACTCGCTACTCATTCGTAATTGTTCAAGCGAGACAAGCATTACATTACCACGAGGTGTCCAGTTTGTATGTTCTTTATATTTCAGAAAAAATATTATGATTGAAAATTCCTGAGAAGAGTCTGTACATCACCAGAGATAGAAAAGCTACCAATGGGTCTATCAAGTTAGGAACAAGCCTACGCCCCTGTTGCACTCACATAGAGATAAAAAAGTAGAAATTACTGTTAAATTTTAAAATGTTCCGTGTTTTCAAACATCAACCTATTTTTCTAACATTTCCTATGGCGAGTTGGTTATTTTTTTTTTTACTAACCCACTGTAAATGTGCATGTTCATTCTTACAGAACTCGTGTTTTCTTATGTAACATCGCATTTATTTATTTATTTTTTTTTTTGCCTTATTCCGGATTACTTTATTTATTTCTTTTTAAAAGCTAATTAAGGAAGCCACTGTAAGTAAGTTTCCGAGTCAAGATCACCCCGAGGCCGAGTTCTCGACTAAAAAAGAAAGCAACCGATGAACACACATCCCCAACCAATGCGCCTGTCTCCTTATTGACAATACTAAGGCAGCGCCTATGGGTAACTATTTAAAGCTGAAGGAAATTGAGTTAAGACGTATATTTCAACAATAACACAAATGAGGAAAGAAATACAGAGAACGGAGAGGCAATGGGGAAAGAAAAACGTAAAATATAATAAACGTAAAAAATACAATACATAGAAGCGCGTGACAACCGCATTTCTGGTCTTTGGGCAAAAAACACTCAAACATTGTAGGATTTTTCACCTTTTTCGAAACGATAGCGCCGTCTGTTGACAGCCCCCCGTGATCAGTTCTTAAATCCAGATAAAAGGTAAAATTTCAGTTCCAAGAATACCAGTGGGATTAGTACTACGCAGTTATTCCCCCTTTGCTGGGAATTTAAACAATATTGAATATTATTATTTTATTTTTGCCACATCTTGTTATCAAACTGAACGTTAGAACTCAATTTTCGTGGACTTACGATCATATCCTTTTGAAACACCACCTCTCGTACTATCACCCAAGTTAAGCAACGTCGAGCCTGGTCAGTACCTAGACAGCTTGGGAATACCAGGTGGTGTAAGTTTGGATGTGCGGATGGTGTAACGGATAATGTCTCAGAATTAGACCTCAGAGAGACGCGTTCCAATACTAGTTGTGTACTTTAAGTTCTCTTACGTGCAAATAACCTTGGGAAATGTATAAATTACCTCTTTCTCTTAGCTATTGGTTAATAAGTAGGATGGGTATCAGTAAATTATTATTACCTCCCAAAACATTCTGGTGATTTAAAACTATTTTCTGGCTTCAAATAGCCTGCAAAAGGTTGATAAGGCATAAAAAAAGAAATCAATTACTTTTCGTGTGTTTGTGCGCATGGGTGTATGCATGCACCTAAATAAGAATGTTTTTTATTATGTCATCTGACCAGTGTGATGGTGATTATCACATAGGGAGGTTGATAAGATAAGCCTCTGTATATTTCGATAGATCAACCTAACAAGGTACATGCGCGCGCGTGTGTCTGATAGAAAGAGAAAGTAGGGTATTTATCATAGGCACGAAGAGAGATAAATCTATTGATAAATTTCACACTTGGAAAGCGATATCTTAAGAGTCACTCGGAACACACACAAACACACACACGAAAATACTTACTCAATTTTATTTCCCGATGTTTGTTTTGCTTTATTGCAGCTGTACCGATTCGTGTATTGAAACAAATAATATTTCGGTTGACATAGAGAATAAACGATTGCTATTTTTTTCTCTATACGACAAGTTCGCGTTATTATTACAATGCGAATAATAAAAAAAAATACATCCACGGTTCACAGTGTTCACACCCATATTACTTTCGTCAGCTTTCTAAGAGTTACACCATGAATTTTTTTTACACAACATTTGTAAGATATATCTCAGCGACTTACCGACTAAGGAGGTACCTAATGTACTTTCAGGCTTTCGACACATAATTTGATTCCGCAGCAAAAGAGCAATAGTCGGCAGATAGTTTTAGTTATTGCCTCATCACGACTATTTCCATGGATTCCGTTGCTCTAAAACTTTTATAATTATATAGCTTTACCTGGGAAAGGAGAGGACAATCGACAGCGATTTCTGTTTATGTACAACAACGGGGAACAGCAACTATGAAAAAATAGAGTGAAAAGTTTTTAAAAAAATATTTGATTTGATCCCACTGCGCCAATTAAATTGCCAGCAGACTTTGGAAGCGCCTGTATATACATTGTTGCAATGGTGTCTTTCTTTTTATTCATTCATTCTTTCTTTTTCTTTTTTTATCTTTCTTTTTCTTTTTTCTTTTATTTTTTTCATTTAATTTCTTTCTTTTACATTTTATTCTTTTTTCTTTCCTCTTTTTTTTGTTTCTTTTTTCTTTTTTTTCTTTTGACTTTCCTCTTTCTTTTTTTATTTTTTTCTTTCCTTCTTTTCTTTTTTCTTTTCTTTTTTTTTACTTTCCTCTTTCTTTCTTTTTATTTTTCTTTCCTTCTTTTTCTTTTCTCTTTTTCTTTCTTTTTACTTTCCTCTTTCTTTTTTTATTTTTCTTTCCTTCTTTTTCTTTTCTCTTTTTCTTTCTTTTTACTTTCCTCTTTCTTTCTTTTTTATTTTTCTTTCCTTCTTTTTCTTTTCTCTTTTTCTTTCTTTTTACTTTCCTCTTTCTTTCTTTTTTATTTTTCTTTCCTTCTTTTTCTTTTCTCTTTTTCTTTCTTTTTACTTTTCTTTTCTACTTTTCCTTTCCTTTTTTCTTTCTTTCTTTCTTTCTTTCTTTCTTTCTTTCTTTCTTGCTTTCTCTTTTTCATGTTTTCTTTCCTTTTTTTATTTCATTCTCTCTTAGTTTTGTACTTCTTTTTTTCTTTTCTTTCTTTTTATTCTCGTTCTTTCCTTTGTTTTTCCTTTCCTTCTATTTTCTTCCGTTCTTTGTTTCTTTCACACACTCACATATAGATACATTGAAAAGAAGAAAAAAAACATAGTTGTTGTCTCACCCTAGGCCAACAAGAAACAGACTGACAGACTGGCTTTGCTCAACACGACACGATAGATCAACAGTCAGCACAATGATCTCCAGGGATCCTGTTACCCTGAACCTTGACACAGACTTACATTGACTCGGAAAGGAGCAGGCGATAATTAGATAATGATATCTTTTTTACAAAAAGAAAAAAAAAAGCTAACAAAACAGCAGTCATGAAAACATAATGGGAAGAATATGGAAATATCTAAACTGGAGTCACACAATTCTCACTTTCCAGCCTTGATAGAATTTAAAACGGTTTACATGGTCTTGTGCGTGTGTGTGGGGGGGACTTATTCTCAACTCTGCAACCATTTCTTCACAGATACAACGTTGCAAGGCTGTCGCTATTCCATCTCTGTTTCTATGACAAATGTTCCATCACTTCATACCATTACCAATTGGACACGCCATGTTACTTCCACAGACTCGAACCACTCACATTACCCCCGATAGAGAACGTTGACATTCAGACATATTTTTCCCAAGAACTTAAGTAGCTTTGTCAAATCGAGATTCTTATATGGCGTCAAACATACTTAGAATTGTCTCAAATATCATTTGTATTCAACCTTCCGTTTTCTAACATCAAAGTTTAAAAATGGCTTCAAACGAATAAATCCTACAAATGCTAAAAAAGACAATCCTTCGTCCGAACCTGTAGACTGGCGCTCCATATTCACATCGAGCTATACCAAATAGCACCCCCCCTACCAAAAAAAACAAACAAACAAAAAAACAAAAACAAACAAACAAATCACTTGAAGACTTCCAAAAGCAGCAAAAATGTATCGAATGGAAATAAAAGATCAAATATTGACATAATCAAAAACAAAGCGAAAGACAATATTTCGAAGAGACACCGTTCAATATTAAAGAGATCTTTTTAAATTTACAAAACATACCGATGAGTTTAATCTGAACTTATTTTAAAGGGGTAAAATTAATACAAATTTAATCTACTCTGATAAATAAGTAATCTGCAAAGAAAGAAAAAAACATAGAAATATAAAAAAAATAATGGCCATTTTACTGTAAGTATTAAAAAAAAAACTTGAAATGAACATGTAAAAAATGCGACAGGACTTTCATTTCAACAATATATATGTCAAGAAAGTGCCTAAGTCGCTAGTTCAGCCAAAGTAAATTTACGTCCAGGTTCTTACAACGTATCACTATTCTTGGCAAATTTTCTGTTATCACAATTCCAACATCTGGATATTTTTTATTGTTCCTCGATTTAAGCTTTCGACTCATATGAGCCATCATCAGAGTGGTTATATGGGCATTACAACAGAGATATTCACCATCAAAGATGGCATCCTGTTATGTTTACAAAGAAGTTTGCTATGCGAAGATAACGGTCGCGGAATAGCACGCGGAAAAAAATTAACCCTAGAAAAAAGTCCTAAATCCTTTTTTTTAAAATTCTCTTCTCGTTGAGAAAGTACACAGGCGCGTCTGAAAATCCCAATTTTTAAAATCTTTCTGGTCATGCTTCCATTTGGGCAAAAGGCCTACTAATATATAATAAATATTATTAGTCTTATCAAAATTATTGTTTTGTTTTGTTTTTATCTCACAAATCTCCGACACACACACACACACACACATATATATATATATATATATATATATGTGTGTGTGTGTGTGTGTGTGTGTGTGTGTGTGTGTGTGTGAGAAAATATATAGAAAATAGGAAGGAACTGGTTAGGTAAATAATCCAAAGTTCCTTAGTATTTTATTGCTCGATACAAAAGTAGAGCATAAATATAATTATTTTTAAATAAATAATTATATATATATATAGTGGATACCCATATTTAGTTTATTTTTAAACAATATTTTATTTTCGTTTACCCTCCCGAATATTCGAAAATTCTTATTAAAGTAAAATCCTTCCTTTGACATCACTCGAACCTGCGTCCCCCTCGGCAGGAGAAACCGCCGTTAGATCCGACGTGCTTTTAACCGAATATCGACGGTAACCTTCAGGCAATTTCGAACTGAAACGTTTATTCAAACTAAGATCTCGATGTAACGTTCTCATCCCGCTGTCTATCTCTTCGGATATCTTGTCTCGTTCTTTTTTACCAGTGCTCAATTTTGACACACCCTTTTGATAATGAGCCCGAGAGACGGTGTACTACCCAGCCCAGAGATTGATCTAGCGGATTAAAGTGTTGGTTGTTGAATTTGGCAACAAGGTAATTGTATGTTCAATCCCTGGTTCAGACAGTGTGAAGTTGTGGTCAGTGGTGACGGGGAGCGCAATAACTGATCCGTACTAGATAAGAAATCGAGGAGACAACCCTTGTACCATAGTGGAACGAGAACAGTCTATTCCTATAAATTAAATAAAGAGATCCGTTCAAAATTGCTTGGAGGCTACCTGGATCGACAGACACCTGAAGAAAGCCCGAGGGCACAACAATCGAAACGTTGTGATAATAACAATAAAAATAAGGTCATTAGTCGGCATGTAAATGATGCAAATAATTACAACTCCTAATCATAGTAATTCAGACAAAAACTTCTAACATTGTGTTCTCATTAGCTAAACCTATTAAATATCCGCACACGGTTCAGAATAACAGCGAGCAAGCTCGGCGCCTTGATTACTACATGTAAATTTAAAAGTAACTTTATTTCCATTGATTTGATTATGATGCAGCGTGCGAAACGACGACTCTTGCGCAAAAATTATTTCGTTGACTTCTCCGGCAAAAATCGTTCATCCGAAAAGACATTCGAACCACGAGAAAATGTTAGGAATCAGTACAGATCGAACTCACAACTGTCATACAAAACCAAATCATTAACCTACCGGATGTAACAGCAAAATTGTCCAAATCGTGTAACAGCAAAATTGTCCAAATTATGTAACAGCAAAATTGTCCAATTGTTAGATTAAGATTTGAACCGTTGTATCTTAGGAATGATTAAAGATATCTTACTGGTATCCTCCAAGGTTTTTTTTTTTTTTTTTTTTTTTAACACTATTGACTCTAATTTGAGCAATAAGAATATGTAATTACTCTCTAAGCTTAACAGAGGTATCGTGAAAAACTCGATCATAAACGAAAAATAACATGTTCATCATTAATTAATCATAGGTAAGGATCAGAAGCTCATGAGTTATTGAAATACAGTCCATATATATATATATATATATATATATATATATATATATATTATTTATTCCAGGATCATTTTCCAAGAGGATCTTCTCCTCTCTAACCTTCTAACTTTCTGTCCTGGAGTAGCAAGGTGTCTGACATGTTTCACGTACGATTTCATTTTCAAGTCTTTTTTCACTGCTCTTTAGACTGTCATAGCTGAAACTCCTCTCTCACGTGCCAAACGTGTTATGAATTGAGTTGAATCTTTTCTAATTGATCATTTTAGCTCCAAGTTGAAATGATGATCTCACTTCCTGTTGTGACTTCCTGATTCAGTTTTTCTCTCTACCATTCAATCCTTTTTAAACTTATTCATCGTTCTCTTGATGGTTATTGAATGGATTTTGAAGATGGAAGCCAGAGTATGAATGTTGGTAGAAGCTATGCGACGATAACAGTGTACATAATACATCATCTCAGAAATATAGACAGATACTGATAAGCCCCTGCTGATATATGGCAGCATCATTTTCTTTTAGGACTGATCTGGTACTTACTGGAGCGGTACAGGGAACCGGCCATTTTTCAGCATCTTTAGCGATGGATCGTATGTACGAGTTCCACTTGCGGTCTGGATTGATATTACCATTACCGTAATCGTTTCTTAGATTAACTTATTAACCACGTTTTGATGAGCGTACGACGCAAGGCTTCTGTTGTCGGATCACCAGAGAGAATCGAACTCGGCACGAGGAAATGAACCTTGAGACAGTTTTGTTAACTATTACTCGGCTCTAGGTGCCCAGGTATAGCTTTGTGCATAAGTGTTTGCAAACAGGTCAGTCGAAGGCGAAGTTTCTTTTATTACCGATGGAGAATATTTGTACGCATGCGCACAACTTGAGGCTCATCGATAGGATATTATTAAGTAAAATCGCAGAAGATATTGCCTTCAGGCCGTAATCGTTTCTTAGATTAACTTATTAACCACGCTGTTGTGACTTCCTGATTCAGTTTTTCTCTCTACCATTCAATCCTTTTTAAACTTATTCATCGTTCTCTTGATGGTTATTGAATGGATTTTGAAGATGGAAGCCAGAGTATGAATGTTGGTAGCATTACTGAAGGCTTGAATGATTTTTTCCTCTCACCATTGCTCAGTTGGGAAGACAGTAGGTCTGAGACAAAACAATTTTAACCTGCTTTCATTTTAGTTGAATAACCCAAAGGATTTTTCAGTGATTCTTACGGCAAATGATGTCAAGATGGCTAAACGTCTTATCTAAAACCCTGGAAAAAAATAAACTCAATTAGTTCAGTGGTATCTTAGATTAAACATTTTTTTGGGGGGTGGATACTTATGCTGTTACACGATTTGGATAATTTTGCTGTTACACTCGGTAAAACTCTGAGTCAGGTTCTTAAAAAGCCTCGTCTGATTGAAACTTTCATATGAATGTAATTCATGTCGTCAAATTCGTCCCCAAGTCCCTGAAATATGAGTTGTATACAGATCAATTCTTAATCAAGCGAATAAAGCTTGAATGTCTTAGCGAGGTCCATCCTGATTCGAACCTTGTAGAATGGCGTTACATAATCACAAACAAAAAAAAATGTGCCTATTAACAGAAGTCATATCACTGCAACAACTGCAACAACTAAAATGAATATCGCATGTCACTCGAAGAGAAAATAATGACATAATCGAGATGTTGATCTTCCACACTACTTCAAACAAAAGGCAAGGAAGGAAACCGCCATAAATACTATAAATAACAGTAACAACTACTGAACTTTAAAAACTTCTTTTCCCAAAGAATTACTTTAAGGGAAATATTTAATAAATTTGAAGCGAAATTAGTACTGGCTGCTCGGTTAGTAAATGTCAAATGTTTCCTTATAAAGAAGTGGCTAATTTGTTCTGTTTTTGTTTTTTTTATAGTGATTTTCATCCTGTATAAGGGCCGCGTGCCACTCCAGGTAGAGGATAAAGAGTAAGAAGCGCAATTTATGCGGGTATCTGAGGAGGATAATAGTTAATCCTAAATTTCTACAGGTTAAGATTGTAGTGATCGGAAAAATATTCTTTTAGGAATCAGTTCCACAGAACAGCGGTTCGCAAGAAAAAGCTGCTTGAACGGAACTTGTATATCACCGATGGAATACGAAGGTAGTTTTGAAACAATGCGCGTAGCATGGTGGCTCATAGTCGTGAAGGTTAGAAATGGTGGACCAAAAAAGTGTAGTTCGTCTGAGCACTTTCAATAGAAATAGCGATAGAGTAGTCAGAGGGTTGCGACGTTTCGTATGTGATAAAGAGGTCGTAGGGTGGAAAATAACTTCTCACCCACAAGTTCGCTGAGACGCCTTTGGATACCGTCGAAGCTTGAAAGTGGAGACTGATAAGCCCCTATTTACATTATTCGGATTATTGTCCTCATCTTCGTCGCCATATTTATTACAACGTTTTGGCCGTTGTACGCTCCGGCCTTCTTCATGTGGATGGAATGTCGAGCTAAAGCCTTTATTTCGCTCACTGGGGTAGACTGTTCTAGTTCCACGTGCCATGTTTAATGGATATCAGTTGTCAGTTATCTCCTGTTAATTTCCCTCTCCAAGTTCTCCACTGACGAATAATGACCTTATTTTTATTGTTATTATCACAACGTTTCGATTTTTGTGCCCTCGGGCCTTCTTCAGGTGTCTCACGATCCAGGTAACCTCTAGACAATTTTGAACGGATCCCTTTATTTAATTCATAGGAGTAGACTGTTCTCGTTCCACCATGGCGCAAGGGTTGTCTCCTCGATTTCTTATCTAGTACTACTCAGTTATTGCGCTTCCTGTCTACACTGACCCCAAGTTCACACAGTCTACCCCAGTGAGCAAAATAAAGGCTTCAGTTCGACATTGCAACCACCTAAAGAAGGCCGGAGCGCACAACGGCCGAAACGTTGTAATAAATATGGTGACAAAGATGAGGACAATAGTCCGAATAATTTAAATAGTGTACATAATACCTCATCTCAGAAATATAGACAGATACTGAAGGGCCGAAACGTTGTAATAAATATGGCGACAAAGATGAGGACAATAGTCCGAATAATTTAAATAGTGTACATAATACCTCATCTCAGAAATATTGACAGATACTGATAAGCTCCTGTTGATATATGGCAGCAGTATTTTCTTTTTAGGACTGATCTGGCACTTACTGGAGCGGCTATTTTTTCAGCATCTTTAGCGATGGATCGTATGTACGAGTTCCACTTGAGGTCTGGATTGATATTCCCATTACCGTAATCGTTTCTTAGATTAACTTATTAACCACGTTTTGATGAGCGTACGACGCAAGGCTTCTGTTGTCGGGTCACCAGAGAGAATCGAACTCGGCACGAGGAAATGAACCTTGAGACAGTTTTGTTAACTATTACTCGGCTCTAGGTGCCCAGGTATAGCTTTGTGCATAAGTGTTTGCAAACAGGTCAGTCGAAGGCGAAGTTTCTTTTATCACCGATGGAGAATATTTGTACGCATGCGCACAACTTGAGGCACATCGATAGGATATTATTAAGTAAAAGCGCAGAAGATATTGCCTTCAGGCCGGTAAACGTTTCCTGGATGGGATGAAATATGCATTTTCGTTGGCACAATATTCGCACAGCTCTATTATCACATTTGCTTTCATCGACTCGCGATGCTTTCACTCAAATTCTCTTTTGGCCTCTCTTTCACTCTTATGATCTCTCTCTCACAATCTCTCTTTCTTTCACTTTCTCTTTGTCTCTCTTATTCTTTCACTCTGTTACCCTTTCCTTTTCTATCATATTCATTTTCAGTAATTCATTGTCTCCTCACCTGCACCACGTCTACTTTTCTTAATTCTCGTCTGCATGTTCCTTTAATTTGGGGGCAATCAATTCTCACCTTCTTTATCTTTCATTTTTTTCTCTCTCTCTCTTTCTCTCTCTCTTTTCTTGCTTACTCTTTCTCTCTCACTTCCTTTTCTTTTGCTTTCTCTTTCTCTTTTATTCTCTCCCTTTCACTCGTTCTCTCTTTCTTCCTCTCTCTTTTACTTCCTCTCTCTTGTTATTAACATTTCCGTCGCTCCTTATTCGACATCTTCTCACTCTTCCTTTCTTTCTCACCCTCTTTCACATTCTTTGTCACTCCCTTTCTCGATGTCTCTCTTTACTTCTTTTACTCTTCTCTGTTTCATATCTTAATCTCATTTAATAGTCACTTCTCGCTTCCCCTTTTAAACTATTTGTCACTGCCATCTTCCCGCTAATTCTCTTTCTTTCTTTCTTTCTTTCTTTCTTTCTTTCTTTCTTTCTTTCTTTCTTTTCTCATTCTCCTACTTACTCTTCGTTTTCTTTTTTTATTGCGCACACTCTCTTTCTCCCTTTTCCTTTTATTAATTTTTTCTTCCTTTTTATTCTTGTTCTCCTTCTCTGTTACTCATATATTTTATATCAGTCAGCCATTTACTTCCTTTTCACTTTGTCTTTATATATATATATATATATATATATATATATATATATATATATATATATATATATATATATATATATATGGATAGATTGATAAATCCAGGAAGTGGAATTAATAAATATTAATCACGTTAAATATCTCGGTGTGCAGATCAAGAGGAAAGGAAATTGATCATTTTTTTTAAGCATTTCACCCCATGCAAGGCGGGAGAGCCACTAACACGCAAGGGGTTACAGAAAGTGGGAGCAAGAGTAAAGAGGCGTGAAAGAGGAAAGGAGGAAGAGAAGGAAGGGGAATAGATCAAGGCATCTGAAGATGTTGATTGACATCGCATTTGAATAGTTGGAAATTATAACTATCAAGAAAGCAAATAAGAGGAAGGGAGTTACACAGACGAGAAGTGCATGATATGAAGATATTGGAGTAGAAGAGACGGTTGAATTTAACCGTTTCGACGGTGCAAGTGTGGAACTGAGTTGCCAGCCTAGTAGCACGTTTAAATTCATGCAGTTTGGGAACTAGTGAAAATAGCTCGTCGGAGAAGCTACCGTGGAAGTATTTGTAGAAAAGACAGAGGGAAGCGACGACACGTCTGTGAGAGAGCGACTGTAAACAAGATGCCAGATCAGGGCCAATCACATTGCATATCTGGATTTTTGTCGAGGTCCGCAAGACGAACAGCGAGGGATTCAGACCATATATGGCAGCAATATTCTATGCAAGGGCGAATGGTTGATTTCTAGATTTGAAGGATGAACTCGGGCGAGAAAAAGTTTCTGACGCGACACAGAGAGCCAACTAGAATAGAATAGGCAGTGCTAGGCATAGTTTCCCCCACCACCGCAAGATGTTACAAAACCAAAACGTGAAGTCATGTCCTTAAATAACCTCGTCAGATCGAACCTTTGATAAATATATAAAATGTCGGTTATATAAAATTGCATTCTCAGATCGATGGTTAAAATAGCATTGAGCGAGTGAAACGTATTTGCCTCAGCGATGATTATTTCTCATCAAGCCATGTGGACTTCAAATTGGTTCTAGGCGAGTGAAATCTGAGGGTCTTGGCAAAGATTCTCCTTTTTTGAACATTGTGGACTGGTGCTACAGAATCGCAAACCAAGAACTGTACCAAATTATAGAAACCATTTCTATTGTGGACTACTAACAGCAACTAAAATGGATAACACATGTAAATCGAACAGAGAATGAAGCCATAATCAAGAAGTTGACGCTCTATGCTACCTCAAACAAATGGTTGGGAAGGAAACTCTCATCAATACTGGAAAGAGGGATAACAGTTACTGGACTTGAGAAACAGATTTTTCTGAGAAATTGATAAAGTTTTTTAGAAAATTCTACAGACAGCAACAATAACTGCTTAATGATCGATGAATGCCATGTATTTCCTTATAAGGCAACAGTTAATATATATATATATATATATATATATATATATATATATGTGTGTGTGTGTGTGTGTGTGTGTGTGTGTGTGTGTGTGTGTGTGTGTGAAAAGTGTGTGTGTATAAATATCGATATATATATATATAATTATTTATATATTATATGCCCGGTACTTATTAGAAAGCGCTCAATATCAGCGATAGAGCTAACATAGATAGATAGATAGATAGATAGATAGATAGATAGATAGATGATAGATAGATTTTTAAACAGACGATCGCAAAAGCGTGAAACCTAGGGTGATAAACTCACATCAATCCAACCATATATATATATATATATATATATATATATATATATATATATATATATATATATATATATAATCCTCAGGTCACGACTCATAGCCTGAGGATTGCATCTAGCATGAAACAGACTGTCGCCTCTAAGTATATATATATATATATATATATATATGTTTGTGTGTTTACGTGTGTGTCTATTTTTCAAATGTCATCGGAAATTAATTTTATTTTCCGTCGAAGCTGCCTCCTTCATAACAAACTAGCATAAAGCATAACGATCTGAATGCTACTACGATAATGAGCTACAATAATCATATGACAGAAAAACTCGTCAAAATGAATACTATCAATTCATCATTTCAGAACTTTGGACATCGTAAAAGTATTACGCCTATAGTGTTGCTGGTGTACCTTTATTATCGATGTAACTTTAGTATTTGGGCATTGTATGATTATTGATAATTGTGAGTATTACTACGAATCATTATTATGACTATAATAAAGCAAATATAATAATTCCTATATCATTTCTATGATGCCAATTATAAAGCTTGTTATTATGAATAATTATGACTATTACATATTAATATCATATCGATGCATTATTTAGATATCGTATGACTATTACGCCTGTTACACTTATTAGTTGTCGGAAAAACTAGTAGAAAATGCTATCAATTCTTTGTCTCAGAAATTTGGACATCGTCTACCTATTACACCTAGAAAGACTAGTCAAAAATCAAAGATGTCATGGGCTGAAGCTCGCATTAGGCGTGAAACTGAGGGTCACTAGGCAGTGTAAATTTGTATGTTGACACTGCCTTCATATATATCTATATAATCGGACACTGAGATCAAACCCAAGCAGCGATGATCTGTTTCATGCTTGGACGCAATATTCAAGCCATATGTGTTGTGTTATGGTTGAACTATCTGTATATGTTTGTCAATGGTTCATTATGGGTAGCAAGGTATATTGTATTATTCTAACGGTTATTTTGTAGGCGTAACGGTTATGTTTTTGAATATTCTAGTGGTTATTGAGTAGGAATAATTGTAAATCCGAATATGGTTATTTGTAGATATTTGATAGCGTTGTTTCTTAACTATTTCATGTTGATTATTATTATTATTATTATTATTATTATTATTATTATTATTATTATTTTCTTTGATTTCTGGCGTTTACACATTTCTTTCCGGGTCCCGCCCAGGGACCTAAGGTTAGAAATGGCATCATGACACTTTCCACTGACAATATATACATATATATATATATATATATATATATATATATATATTACATAGATAAAGCACTTCGTAAAGTGTGGGCTGTACTTGTCAGAACAATTTTTTGTATCTCCTTGAGGCATGAACTTCCAGGAATCCCTTCAATTAGTCTACTGCAATCTTTTCCAACCAGTCCTAGGGCTCCAACTACAACAGGGATTGTTGATGTTCCCATATGCCACATTTTCGAGATTTCTATTTCAAGGTCCTTGTATTTTGACAGCTTTTTGAATATCTTCAAAGATACATTGCAGTCAGCAGGGACTGCCATATCAATAAGGAGGCACCGTTTATTATTATTATTATTATTATTATTATTTATGTTTATGTGTGCGCTTGTACATTGTTAATTTGTTTATTTACTTAATGTGTTTATTTATATTTTTGTCTATATTACTTTTTTATTTATTTAGCATTTTATTTTTGCATAGGCTCTATCCCATATACGGAGCACTTCTATACATAAATATAGCATACTTTATAACTATATTTTTATCTTACAGATAGATAGATAAATAGATAGATTAAAGGACGCAATTTGATAGAGACAGCGACATAGAGAAAGAGGAACAGAATTAGACAGCGAAAAGAACGAGATATGAACATTATATATATATATATATATATATAGAGAGAGAGAGAGAGAGATAGATAGATAGATAGATAGATAGAGAGAGAGAGAGAGAGAGAGAGAGAGAGAGAGATAGATAGATAGCGATAGAATAACCGGTCAGTTTTTTTCGTGATTTTTCTGTCTTCCTTTTACCTTTTACTTTATATTGTTTTTTTTTATATTGAGAGAGATAAACAGAATGAAAAATGAACAGATACATAGGCAAAGGGACGAACATAGATAGATAGATAGATAGATAGATAGATAGATAGATAGATAGATAGATTTAAACAGATTGGAATAGATAGATAGATAGATAGATAGATAGATACCGAATATGAACAAATCATGAAGTAATGGTTTTGCGAAATTCTAGTTGAGATCGATAACAGGGACTTTTATTCAATATTTCTCAGCAATTTTTGTAAGCGGCATTTCTGGAGAGGACATTTTAAATTTGATTTACTGCCATAGATAGATATGCGTTTAGACAACAAGAATTCAGTTCTCTCTCTCTCTCTCTCTCTCTCTCTCTATCTCTTCTCTCTCTTACTTTCTCTCTCTCTCTCTCTCTCTTACTTTCTGTCTCTCTATCTCTCTCTCTTACTTTCTGTCTCTCTATCTCTCTCTCTCTCTCTCTCTCTCTCCCCCTCTTCTTCATTCTATATCGTATACAGTCTCCTTTACTTTCTTTTGTATATTCACTAATATAAACATTTCACTCTCGTCTCAAATCATGCGCCATTTCTCTCACAACCCGACCCACTACGTCATTCCTGGCTCATGGACTTACTTACTCTCCATATACTAAGAATGTTATCCCCGACAATTAGGAGAGATTTTTGAACTGTTATTATGTCAAGCATGGTCGTCGTGTAATATGAGCAAAATTACATGCCTCTATTTTATTCAGTGATAGGTAAATGTAGATACCGTCGCAATCTTATTAATTGTCAAATGTTTTGGTGTGTAAAGCAACATAATGCGGTTATCCTCAGAGTGGACACGTAAAGTACGATTAATGGCTTTGGAAAATAAAATAAACATCATGTCAATCAATTCGAATCGAGATCAAAGCTAAGATCACGTGTCTTTTTTTTTTCTTAAGTTTTCAGCTGAAAAATGGCCGTCTTTAATTTTTGACTAGGTTTTCATTTATCCTTTGTTGCTAGATTATACCTCGGCGTAACCATCATCATCATCATCATCAACAACAACAACAACAGCAACAACAATAACAGAAGCAGTCCCTAGACTCAGTATGGTTGTAAGGTCATCGCCGCTCGGATGAGCACCTGACGAGTTCCCACCACATTGTCTTGATTGAAAGCCGGAGAGCTAGTCGTTCGTGCGAAGCGTGTCTTAGGCAAGTCGACCTGAAGGAGCTTGCCCTTCTCTAGATCAAGCCATAGCCGATATCCCCCCGTTTGTTGGGTCTTCTTGATCACGGATAAACGGCCGTTACCTTCAATTCTGGAAGCCCTCCGCCCAGCGAATCCATGCCATTCCTACACTGGCTGCAAACATAGTTCTAGAGCCAGTCTACGCAAGTGTGTCAGATGACCATTGACACTAGAAGTTGGTTCATTCATCCGCATTTTGACAGGCTTTACTTTTAATTTTACTGGGCATTTACTCACACTCCTTCGTCTAGTCCCTAATGGCCTAATCGGCATGCGGCATATAGTATTGGGCTACATGGTACCAGCACGACCAGTGCAGTGGTTTGACATAATTATCAAAGTAATAGACGGCAAGCGCATACGAAGAACTGAGATAATTCATTTTGACTAGTTGTTCTCTTGCCTTATTTTTGTAGCTTTCTCTTACACCATTCGTTACGTTACGTCATCTGGTGTATTTTAGGGAAGCAACATGGATGGGAAAAATATTTGCTTCCGGTGAGATTTGAACTCATATATAAAGACTTGAGAGCCTCTTGAATACGGAAGACGTAGCTATATGCTGTTAGATTAACAGGTTGATTTTCTTATATATATATATATATATATATATATATATATATATATATATGCCAAACACCGACGGATGTCAAATCGGTCAAGTTTCGACCCCGGCTTGAAGCAATCGCGTGTCTTGACACACTGAAGAGCCGTGATACAGCGAAACAGTCTCTGTGGATGACTATATATATATATATATGTGTGTGTGTGTGTGTGTGTGTGTGTGTGTGTGTGTGTGTGTGTGTGTGTGTATTATAATTATATTTTTTTAAAATTATGATTAATTTAAGCTCTACTTTTGTACTTTTGATTTTTGAAAATAAAAACAAAAATAATAAAGAACTCCGGATATATATATATATATAAAAAAAACTTTGGAAAAAACAAACAAAAATCCTTATATGCAATTATGTTGTTTAAAATGAATGAAATGTCGACGTCTGACGTTTCGGTTTAATAAACCTTTTTCAAGACAATATTCATTAAAATACAATTCAGTTCAATTTAACAAAGACGATGGACATAAAAAACAAGTCTTATCCAAAACAGATAACTGAAAATTTTTAAAATGATCAGCTTTCCGTTTAACATGGTCACGTTGTCGTCACATGGGCGACGCTTTCAAAACGTATTCCTAAAAAATTTTTTTGTGATTATTTTGAAATGAAAAAGAAAATGAAAAGAATTCTATTAGGATCTAAAATTTTTAAAATTTTTATGTGTATGCTTGTCGAGCATTAATCTCGCTAAAAAAGGGGAAATATTAAAGAAACCAGGTCTAGTATTCACCGTGCGTGAGATGGATATTATACCTGCTTCATAAATCATCCTGAGATTTTTATTATGAAAATATTTTAATACCTTCACGGAATCGAAATCGAAATTATGATCTGTTTTAGTTGTGTGTACAACTAAAGCATTGTTAAAATTTCCGAGGCGAATATCTCGTTTATGTTCGAAAACACGAGATTTTACGGACCTACATGTTTCACCCACATATTTTAGGTCACAGTTTTTGCATGATATTTGATAGATGCAAGCATCGGATGTAATATGTTGTCTGCTGGTGCTATTAAATAAATAATAATATATATATAAAGGTGAAGGTGGGGATTAAAATTTAACAGAGAAAAGTTTTAAAGAGAGGAGTTAAATAACGATTTAAATGAGTGAGATACAGATAAATATGGATTATTTTCAGATGCATAAATCACTACCGATTCGCTGACCTAAAATTAAAATTAAAAAACAGACTCCGGAAATGTGTGGATACATTTGTGGTGACAATACGCACAATACAAAACGATATGATCTAAACTTAAAATCCATCGAATTCATACTGCCGATGTATATGTGAAAAATTTCTGTCTCCTTTGCATTACTAACCTTATGTATATAAGAAAAGATGAGAGTGAGGAATATATATATATATATATATATATATATATATTTACAAATTCATGAATTATTCATACAAAAACAAATACAAAGGTTAATGATTTAATTGGTGAGAAATCCATCGTCGCGAACAATTCAAATAATATACAAAAACCCCGAACCTGTTATGAATGAAAATATCCTTGTTTTTATAAATTTCTGTTGCATTAGTTCTTATTTTACTACAAGCTTTCGTCTGTTCCTACAGACATCTTCAGGTATGGAATAGATGTTGTTCTTGTTTTTTTCTCTTAGTAATAAGCGGACAACGATATATATATATATATATATATATATATATATATATATATATATATATATATATATATATATATATATATATATATATGTTCCAAGCAAGGGATTGTAGAGAGTGAAAGATTCTGAGAAAAACATTATTAAGGAGACAGGATAATAAAAGAATAAGATTCAAGGAGAATGAAGTTGACGACATTGCATTTAAATTTGTGAAGATCAAGGTTGGCTGGAAAGCAAGAAACCGGAAGTAAGTTTCACTGCGCTTAAATTCGTAAAGCTGATCTATTGAAGATCAAATCACATCACAACAATTATAATGAAAATATTTATCGGAAACTTACAGTGAAGCTATGTTACTGAAGCTGAGATGTTAGACTAAAACCGATAACATTGCAGATTCTTCTATATGTAGAGAGGAAAGATTTTTCTGTTTAAGCAAATTCATGAAATTATGGCTATTAGAATTTACTGAGGCATAGATTAATATTAAATTCGTAAATAATTTCTAGAAAAGAGTTAAACGTATCTTTGCGTTTCTTGTTTAATTCGTTTATATCTGTTCGTTAATGCGAATATGTAATAAATACCTCGAATATATAGGCTTCGTCAAACGTTTGTCTTCGCAGATATAAAATTACAAAAAGTTGTTATAAAGAACATGATACAACGTGCCAATTTTTTCAAACAATTATCAATAATAATTTCCCAGGTCATGTCTTCGATCAGCAAATAAAATTATAGCACTGATAACATTAACGTTTCCGCAAATTACAAGTGATGGTCGAAAATAGTCGAAAAAATATGAAAACAATTTGGAGGAGAATTTTCTCTTAAATCTGATGCGGGTGTGCGACTGGTTATACGCCAACTATAAACATATAATAAAAAATACAAAGATGGCGTGACATGTTTCGACCTTTAGGACTTCATCAGACTAAATTGATGTTTATGCTGATGAGACGACGCATGAGTACAGAGAAAAGGACAAAAAGCCGCATACAAAACGTTTTCCCACTTTGTCATAGCTTTTTCCTTTAAAATTCTTCTTGATATATAAAATAAAATCTCTAACGCTTTCCCATATATTCAATATCAAAAATACTTTTACAAACTTTGGGAGCAGGTTCGTCATAGCAAAACAAGGACAAAATTTCATATAAACATGTGCCCGCAGATCCTTTATTTTTGAGTTATTAAGTTTAAAGAAAATTTACCATAAATGGCGCTGTGTTGTCATGTAGATTAGGTTACATTTGTCATTCGTATACATTTGTGGCTAGTCTGACTTCAACGAGTAACGTATGTACCAGTGAGTTAACTATGAAGTGTTCCGGTTGAAAATGGCAGGATATTCATATCGTGAATGAGTAGATATAATTTTTACATACAGTCGCGAGAATGGTAATGGACACGAGGCTGCACGGCTGTATCAGATTACGTTTCCAGGCCGAAGGCAGTTGAGTCATTCAACCTTTGCTGTTGAGACAAGATCCATGGCACCACAAACTATGGTAATATGTATTTATTCACCGTTTTCATGATGGTTATTAAATGGACTTTGAAATTGGAAGCCAGAGTATGAATATTGGTACCATACATGGAGGCCTAAATGATCTTTGCCCTCTCATCATTACTCATTTGGAAAGATTGTGGGGCTGACAAAACAATTTTAACCTGTTCTCTTTCTAGCT